TCATGGGTTTCCCCGCATTCCTCTGCTTACTGCAGTTCTAACCCTAATTCACTGCCCAGCTAAAGTCTCAACTGATATGATGAAAGACTAACCATGTGACTATAATTATTCAGTCAGTCAAATATCACTTGAGTTCTATAATCTATTTGCCGAGCTTAGAAAGTGTCTGAAGTAATGTTTGCTGAAATTCATATAATAATTAAATGTATAGAGTTTTAATTCACGGTTTTAGTATTTTTCTAAGAAAACTAGAGGCTCAGTGCATGAAAATTCATGCACTGGAGGGGGAGGTCCCTCAACCAGGCCTGCCCCCTCTCACAGTCCGGAAGCTCTCAGGGGCGGAGGCGACCTGGAAATCAGGGGGAGGAGACACCTCTGCTGCTGTCACTGCCAGCAGTGCAAGCCTCGGCCAGCCCTGGTTACCTGAGCCTCAGGCGGCCCTGGGCAGCTGAGCAGCCAACATCCAAGGCTTGCCTGTGCCTTGGGTCAGCCCTGGGCAGCTGGGGTGCTAAGGGCAGGTCCAGCCACACTGAGCATCTGCTGCTCCTCTGACAGGGCTGAAAGGACTGGGAGACTCCGGTGGGGCTGAGGGGACTGGGCGCTGCCATCTTGTGGCTATGGTCACCGCCATCTTTGTGACGGCATGATGGTCAAATTGCATATTCTCTCTTTATAAGATAGGGTAATGGGAATTATAAAATTCAATTCTTGTACAAAAGCATAAATAAATAAAAGATTTTATCAAATTCTACCCAGACAGGTTTGTCAGGGCCTCTTTTTAAAAATAGATCTTTGTTGATTTCAGAGAGGAAAGAAAAGGGAGAGGGGGAGGGGGAGAAGGAAGGGGAGGAGGAGGGGGAGAGGGACAAAGAGAGGGAGATAATCATGAGAGGAATGATTGATTGACTGCCTCCTGCACCACCCCTACTGGGGATCAAGCCTGCAACCCTGGTATGTGCCCTGACCTGGCATCAAATTGTGACTTCCTGGTTCATCTGTTGACCACTCAACCACTGAGCCTCTCTGGCTGAGTTGTCAGGGCTTCTTTGAAACTGCTATTTGCTTTGCCATCGCTGGGTCTTCGCTCATGGATTTCCCCACATTCCTCTGCTTACTGCAGTACCAATCCTAATTCACTGCCCAGCTATAAATGTTGCTACTCTTTGCACTTTTCTGGTGTATCTAGGAGTAATTTCTTCTGCTTCTTAGCTTCCATTGTACATTTCAGACATTTAGCCCTTTCCTTTCAGTTTGGCAAAATATACATAATTATTTATGTGTAATCCCCGTAGTTCCAATCTCACAGAGACTTAAAACTTGAGAAGTATTCAATAAGTACATAACAATTTAAAGAAAAATTACTTGTCTATAAAATAAGTTCTAATCATAGTTTTCTAGGGAATGAAAAATCTCCAAAAGAATATAGGGAATAAATAGAGCAAAAACAAAGAAAAATCTCAACAACAAAAGAAAATAAGCAGTGCAAAGTTGACAAAAGCAGTTAAGGATAATGTGTGATCAGGTAAAATAAGTTCCTTTTCATTGTACCTTTTCCCCCTATATCCATCTCTTCCTAGTTTTCCTGTTACTGGATTTCCTTGCTCGGCTTCCACCTTTCACTCTGCCTTTGATTTCTGAGTTCCTTTTTCCCCACCCACCTGGCTTAGGCTCATGCCAGTAAGAGCTAAGACTGACTGTGGCCATAGCCAGGCCTCTGGATATCTGTGCTTTCATCATTTGCACTTTCCCTACCCCACACACTATGAAGTTTAGTGCCATGTGAGCTATGAGAGCACCTGACCAGTGTGACATGAGACAAAAAAACAAAACAAAAAACATTTCCTGCCTACCTTTAATGAAGCAGCATTTCCTACCCCCTCCCCAAATTTTGATAGACAGTTGAATGAAAAACAATTTCACATACCACTGATGAAACTTTCTAATGTAAGGAAGTCAGTCGATTGTTTACCAGTAAGAACAGTGTCTCTGAAAAACCATTAATCACTCAGAGCAATTTGAATCAAATTTCTTATATTTATCACAGTAGAGTAATACTTTAATTTTCTGCACACATAAATGAACATATTATTGGAAGTTTTAAGTTTTAAATTGGATGGGTCACTGGTCAGCTGGAATAGAGAGAATAAATAAATAACACAGCACCTCACAGAGTGCCCAAGGCAAAAGCTGATTAACGTTAGTGGATGATGATGTTTAAAGCAATATTTTCTTTCTCCTTGCTTTTGAGAGAATGCACCATCCTAATGCTCTGGAGACAGCTGTTTTTTCTCATGGCAACAGCTGGAGCTATGGTACCCTGTGGGCAGCATCAGATCACTTCATGGACCATGTATTTCCCAGGAGAGACTAGTTAAAGTCTCACTGCAAACAAAGGACACATCAAAGGAAATGACACAACAGGGCAAATAATCTAATGGAGCCATTCAACTTGTTTTAAGCCCAACCTCGGGAAAAATCCCGCCTTGCCTAAATTCTATCACACTGTTAATATACACATCTGATTAAAGACCCATCCCCATCAGTGCCATAATCACAACCATCATCGAAGACCTGGAATGAATAGCTACAGAGCCAGGGCCAGGTGCTGGGCTCAGGGGATACACAGAAGATGAGACACACACCCAGCCTTCTTCCAAGGAGCTCCAGATCCACACTTCTGATCGCCTGCTGGGCAGTTGCCTCAGATGATCCTACAAGTACAAATGTGCAAAAATTTAACTTAAAACGTCTAAAACAAACTTTTTCTTTAAATTTCCATACAGCTTTCGCAGGGTTCCACCTTCCAGAACTCCGCGGAGTCTCCGCTTCTCTGCTTTCTATTCCATTCCTTTCCTTGTTAATGGCACCAGCATTCACCAAGGTAACCAAGGTACAAATGTAGGCATGATTAGATGCTTGCCCCACACCCCTCATTCACCAACTTCTTTAGGTTATGTCACCTAAGTAGTTTTTTTATAACCAATTGCCACCTCCTTAGTCATTTCTTATTCAATTTACTGCAAATGTACCATGTGTTAACACATTCAGGCTGCTTTAACCAAAAGCAGGCTTAAATAACAAACATTTATCTCTCACAATTCTGGAGGCTTGGTAGTCCAAGATCAACCCCCCAGCAGATGCTGTGTTTGGTGAAGACCCACTTCCTGGTTCATAGACATCATTTTGCTGTGTCCTTCAATGGCAGAAAGGGTAAGAGAGCTCTTGGATACAATTTATAAAGTCATAATCCCATTCGGGAGGGCTCCACCCTCAAGACCTAATTACCTCCTAATACCATCATCTGGGAATCTAAGATTCAGGAGGGGGAGAGGGACAAAGAGAGGGAGATAATCATGAGAGGAATGATTGATTGACTGCCTCCTGCACCACCCCTACTGGGGATCAAGCCTGCAACCCTGGTATGTGCCCTGACCTGGCATCAAATTGTGACTTCCTGGTTCATCTGTTGACCACTCAACCACTGAGCCTCTCTGGCTGAGTTGTCAGGGCTTCTTTGAAACTGCTATTTGCTTTGCCATCGCTGGGTCTTCGCTCATGGATTTCCCCACATTCCTCTGCTTACTGCAGTACCAATCCTAATTCACTGCCCAGCTATAAATGTTGCTACTCTTTGCACTTTTCTGGTGTATCTAGGAGTAATTTCTTCTGCTTCTTAGCTTCCATTGTACATTTCAGACATTTAGCCCTTTCCTTTCAGTTTGGCAAAATATACATAATTATTTATGTGTAATCCCCGTAGTTCCAATCTCACAGAGACTTAAAACTTGAGAAGTATTCAATAAGTACATAACAATTTAAAGAAAAATTACTTGTCTATAAAATAAGTTCTAATCATAGTTTTTTAGGGAATGAAAAATCTCCAAAAGAATATAGGGAATAAATAGAGCAAAAACAAAGAAAAATCTCAACAACAAAAGAAAATAAGCAGTGCAAAGTTGACAAAAGCAGTTAAGGATAATGTGTGATCAGGTAAAATAAGTTCCTTTTCATTGTACCTTTTCCCCCTATATCCATCTCTTCCTAGTTTTCCTGTTACTGGATTTCCTTGCTCGGCTTCCACCTTTCACTCTGCCTTTGATTTCTGAGTTCCTTTTTCCCCACCCACCTGGCTTAGGCTCATGCCAGTAAGAGCTAAGACTGACTGTGGCCATAGCCAGGCCTCTGGATATCTGTGCTTTCATCATTTGCACTTTCCCTACCCCACACACTATGAAGTTTAGTGCCATGTGAGCTATGAGAGCACCTGACCAGTGTGACATGAGACAAAAAAACAAAACAAAAAACATTTCCTGCCTACCTTTAATGAAGCAGCATTTCCTACCCCCTCCCCAAATTTTGATAGACAGTTGAATGAAAAACAATTTCACATACCACTGATGAAACTTTCTAATGTAAGGAAGTCAGTCGATTGTTTACCAGTAAGAACAGTGTCTCTGAAAAACCATTAATCACTCAGAGCAATTTGAATCAAATTTCTTATATTTATCACAGTAGAGTAATACTTTAATTTTCTGCACACATAAATGAACATATTATTGGAAGTTTTAAGTTTTAAATTGGATGGGTCACTGGTCAGCTGGAATAGAGAGAATAAATAAATAACACAGCACCTCACAGAGTGCCCGAGGCAAAAGCTGATTAACGTTAGTGGATGATGATGTTTAAAGCAATATTTTCTTTCTCCTTGCTTTTGAGAGAATGCACCATCCTAATGCTCTGGAGACAGCTGTTTTTTCTCATGGCAACAGCTGGAGCTATGGTACCCTGTGGGCAGCATCAGATCACTTCATGGACCATGTATTTCCCAGGAGAGACTAGTTAAAGTCTCACTGCAAACAAAGGACACATCAAAGGAAATGACACAACAGGGCAAATAATCTAATGGAGCCATTCAACTTGTTTTAAGCCCAACCTCGGGAAAAATCCCGCCTTGCCTAAATTCTATCACACTGTTAATATACACATCTGATTAAAGACCCATCCCCATCAGTGCCATAATCACAACCATCATCGAAGACCTGGAATGAATAGCTACAGAGCCAGGGCCAGGTGCTGGGCTCAGGGGATACACAGAAGATGAGACACACACCCAGCCTTCTTCCAAGGAGCTCCAGATCCACACTTCTGATCGCCTGCTGGGCAGTTGCCTCAGATGATCCTACAAGTACAAATGTGCAAAAATTTAACTTAAAACGTCTAAAACAAACTTTTTCTTTAAATTTCCATACAGCTTTTCTGCTTTCTATTCCATTCCTTTCCTTGTTAATGGCACCAGCATTCACCAAGGTAACCAAGGTACAAATGTAGGCATGATTAGATGCTTGCCCCACACCCCTCATTCACCAACTTCTTTAGGTTATGTCACCTAAGTAGTTTTTTTATAACCAATTGCCACCTCCTTAGTCATTTCTTATTCAATTTACTGCAAATGTACCATGTGTTAACACATTCAGGCTGCTTTAACCAAAAGCAGGCTTAAATAACAAACATTTATCTCTCACAATTCTGGAGGCTTGGTAGTCCAAGATCAACCCCCCAGCAGATGCTGTGTTTGGTGAAGACCCACTTCCTGGTTCATAGACATCATTTTGCTGTGTCCTTCAATGGCAGAAAGGATAAGAGAGCTCTTGGGTACAATTTATAAAGTCATAATCCCATTCGGGAGGGCTCCACCCTCAAGACCTAATTACCTCCTAATACCACCATCTTGGAATCTATGGTTCCAACATATGAATTTGGGGGAGGACACAAACATTCATTCCACAGCATTCACCTTCATTCTCATCCTCCTGCAATCCATTTTTTTATGCTGCACCAAAAATTAATACTTTCCATTGCTCACTTGCACAAACCATTGCATAACTTCCTTTGGCCTTAGGATAAAAATCCAAGCTCTTTAGCATAATAGACAAAACCCTTAATCATCTGAGTCCAAGACTTACCTCCTACTGATCGCCACCATTTTAAATTGTATGCTCTACTGGTACTGAACTACTTTCATTCTCCAAATGGGTCAGATATTACATGTTTCAGTCTTTTTCACATGCTTGCCTTCTGCCTGAAATACAATTATCCTTTCCTTTTCCCTACTCTTGACTAAGAAACATTAACATATCCCTAGCTTATCACAGATGTCACATGTCCAAGGACCATTTCCTACACCTCTTCCTTCAGCCAGCCCTTCTACCTGTTTCTTTGGCCTTACTTCAGTGGTTGTTCTTATTCTACTCAGCTTGGAAAGAATGCCAGCCTCCTCATCTATATATTAAACTGTTTACTAGAATCCAGGAACCATGTCTTAGATATTTATCCCTGGCACCTCGCACAGTCCCTGACGTGTAATAGGTACAGAATAAATATTTTAAACTGAGTGGAATTGAATTGATCTGAATTACAATCTTATGGCTAAGGGAGTGCATGCAAATAAAAGATTCAAATGCAGAGTGCCAAACAAGGGCTCATAGCTGCTCAAAAGAGTGAGTGGGCCAGGGGGAGTGGATGAGATAGGACATTTGATAGTATCAGTGATAGTATCATGGGCTCTTACGTTCATTCCTTTTGGCCTCCACAGAGTTACTATAAATGTAGAAGTGAATGATGACAAAATGCAGAGATAGTAGCAGCAGGCCCCTCTTCTGGTATGTAATGTGTTCCTTAAAGGACTTGGAAAGTCAGGCAACAGAGGTGTCTGTGTGTGCTTCTGTTGGGGACAGAAGGGGTAATTTTATTCCCACAAAGGTAGGAAACTAGATCTTCTCACGTTTATTTTTCTTCTGTTGTGACAACCACTGCTTCATCCCCCATCATGGAACATAGTTTTACAGGTATAAACAAATAATTACTATCCCAATCTGAAGTACATTCCTGTGGGTCACTTTGCCAATATCCAGCATTAATCTAAGGACAGTACGTGGAAACTCATCTTGCATTATCTGCCCATGAGGGTGGACCAGAGAAACTTCTGTCAGATCCAAGAGTCAGCCTGTAAAACAGATGGCCACTTTTGTCCATAGAGCATTAAGACACACCTTTATGGCAGTTTTGGAAAAACATTTTGTCCCTTCTTCCAGCCTTCACATTTTCAATAATGATGAGTTCCAATTGTGAACATCCTATTGCAAAATAAAGAATTTTAATTGTCAAAACAAAAAAAAATTGAATATTTACATTTCTGGTTTATTTACTTATTCTTTTTAAATATTTTTATTGATTTAAGAGAAGAAGAGAGAGAGAGCTAGAAACATCAATGATGAGATGCAACCACATACTGGGGACCGAGCCCACAACCTAAGCAAGTGTCCTGACTGGGAATGGAACCCTGACCTGGTTCATAGGGTGATTCTCAACCGTTGAGCTACATCTGACCTCCTGGTTCATAGGTCGATGCTCAACCGTTGAGCTACACCGGGCAGACTATTTACTTATTCTTTAACCAGAAAGCTAAATACTGGATAGCCTCATGCAAAATTTGACACCTGTCAATCTATAGTGTTAGTTTGTTCAGGCACCACTTCTCTTTAAACCCAGGCAACCCTTCATCTAAGTAAAAATGTCACAGATGTCAACCAGAGTAGGAGAGTGCTCTAGCTATCCCAGAAAACTAGGGATTCTGAGTATCTTGCACAGACTCCCTGCCCTTCCTGCCCCTGATGGCTTCTAATCTTCGAACCTGTCTCAAGGGAGCTCACCAGTTCCTAGATAGAATATAAGTGGCAACTGTCTTTCTTGGTCATAATTAATTGTTGGCTGGGTCCATAATGGCTGAATCTCCTACATGCTCTTGAATAAACAAATGAATGGCTGCCTGAGTGAAGGGCCCCAACTCTTTCTTCCCTTATCACAGGGCTGTGACTGGAAGAGGAGGTAGGAAGATGTGAACCTTTTGTGAGGAGAGGAAGTTGCTTCTCACCAAAAGAAAACTGCTATAGAACACAACTTGTGATTAAGCCAGCTCCAGACTTATGGGTTTAATTTAGAGGCTATCACCTTTCAGAACTTGCCCATGTCCTCACTTTGTCTCCCGCACCCCTCAGAGCCAGGACTCAGCTTGGTTTAAACAAAACAAACAAACAAATAAACAAACACAACACAATACAACATTGCCCTCTTGACTGAAGCTCAGCTTTCCTCCCATAAAAAACTTCTCTTGCACAGAGCTCCATTAGAAGGCCTGAAATGTTCATTCTTCCATGAGCCCTAATAACTAAATCCTGCAAAAGAAAGGTAGTATAAGTGTGTCAGTACCTATTGTATGAAGTGGGAAGTTGTGGAAAGTTGAAAGTGTGACAGCCACAGGCACTGTGCATACAGTTTTGTTGAGAAAATTTCCTCTAATTTGAAAAAAACATGTCGTGTCAGCCTTCCTGGGCATGGAAAGCCATTTCCTTTTCTGCCAGGAAATTCAGTCTTGCAGTTCTGACCTGAGGAGATGGTGTTATTTCTTTACTGAAGCTAGAACCTGCTTAGTGATTATTTGTTCATTGGAGGCCTTGCAAGATGATAGATATAGGAAAGAGTCACCGTCCTATGCCCAAATACAACCCACTGTCCTAGTCTTGTTTATACTACATACAAAGCATATTCAATGGAAGGACACAGACTTTTTTAGTCAACAGTTAAGTAGGGTCAAATATCTGTCTTTCTCAGAAGGTCAGAGGGAGGGGAGGAGAGGCCTGGGTCTAGGTGGGTAAAGAGGGGGGGCATCTGTAATAGTGTAATAAATGAATACATTAATTAATACATTTTATAAGATAAAGAAAAAAATGAAAAATATCAGGAATGCACACACAAAATGGATTATTTACCCTGTCATCAGGAAGCAAACCACTATCTTATTAAGCAAATGGTGCTTTCACAAAGTGTCCGATGAAGAGGTTCCTCCTTGAGGAACTGAGGACATGGGTTGTATTTTCTCCAAGTTAAAAAAGAAGTCCTTCAAGGTTGCATGGTGCTTTCACAAAGTGTCCGATGAAGAGGTTCCTCATCTTTAAAGAATCTCCTTGAGGAACTGAGGACATGGGTTGTATTATCTCCAAGTTAAAAAAGAAGTCCTTCAAGGTTGAACATTTTTCATTGCAAATGTAACATTGAACTCATGGTTGTGAAAGTGGACCCTAGCGTCATGGTGACTAACATAATTTTATCACAGAATCTGAACAAAATCTAGACTCAGAAATATTCCATGAAATTCTAAAGCTGTTCTAATACCAGATGGCTCACCTTCGCCTTTTATTTCCAGTTATTTATTGTTAAAATATTTTGCAAATTACTTTCATTAGTGACCAAATGAATAAACAAGTAAATGAAAAATTAGATTAGTGTTTTAAAACCGATGCCCTAACACATTTATTCATCGATTTAATAGATGTTCACTGAATATATTTCATGTTCAAACTCTATATCAGGGTTATGGCAGTGTGTTGAAGGGTTCAGGAGGAAGCAAAGGGAATAAGATAACAGTCCTGCTTGCTAGGTTCTTGCACCATAGTAGAGGGAATTTGAGTGGAATACAAAGAATTAAGTATGAGGCAGAATGTCAGATGTACTATGAGAAATGCACCCAAAATGCCAGGGTGGGGTTAGAGAATGGGTCATTCATATCCAGTTAGTGAGATTAAAGAAGACAATGCAGAATATCACATTTGAATTAGATATCACAATGTTACCTGGGATATGATGAAAAAATGTAGATCATAGAATAGTATGAAAAAGGATGTCAAATCAGAAAAGTGCAGGGTAATTCCATAGACCCTCAGAGAGTTTACATACCTACCTTATAAAATTCAGTGTGTAATTCCTCCGTAGAGAGGATCCCCAGCTTTCATCAAAATCACGAAGGACATATTTGGTTTTATTTGAACATTAAGATTATACAGTGTCATCTACATAAAATTCATGTTTTGCTCTTTGGTGAAACAACAACAGCAAAGTTCACATGAGTTCATGTTTATGAACCCTTTAGGGCAGATCTTAGAATAGCAAGATATTTGAGTTATTTAATGGGCAACACACATGTTACGCTATGAACAGTTAAGGTATAAAATCAACAATAGCCAAAAAGAAAACATTTGCAACCCCTTCATTTTGAAATCAAGAAAATGGGACTTTGAGAGGTGATGGGTGATCAAAATCACTGGGCTTATTACTAGATAGAAGTAAGGCTAATTTTTATAGAACCCTTCTTAAAAATATGTGAAGAATAGATTTGTATTTACTAGGCAGTCTGAAGTAATTAAACTGTTTTTGGACAATGAGTGTGTATAAATATGTCTGGCAGAACTCTTAGTTTTATTGGAGAAGGAAGAACCTAGACTCAAGAAGGCCAATTGAAAATATATTGCAATGGCTCAAATAGAACTAAATATGATCTAAATCAGAATGATGGCAGAGCAAATGAAAAAGAGGTAGTAGATTCAAAACACTTAATGCTGGTGAACTCTGCAACATTTAGAATGGAATAGATATGGAATGGCAAAGAAGAGGCAGATGCCCCAGATGACTTAGAGATTTCACTCTTGTAAACTGAGAGAAAATATTTTTAAATTTTTTCAATTATAGTTTATATTCAATATTATTTTATATTACTGTCAGGGTATAGCATAGTGGTTAAACAGTCATATACTTTACAAAGTATTCCTCCGATATTTCCAGTACTCTTGAAGTATGTAACACGTGGGAGAGTCAATTTCAGGAGGAAGTGAAATTTAGTTTGGGTATGCACGGCTTGATTAACAAAATGAATTTGCCAACTTTGTAACACAATTTATGGCTCTACAGTTAGTTTTCAATAGAGAAATGGCACCAGTCCAATAAAGAAATGGCAACAGCCCAGTTTCATGATCAGAACTGACATCCATTTATTGGTCTCATACTGACTTCCTACTAGGGTAACAGCATCATGTGAAAATAATAGAATGCAGTTAACTGAGTATGTCTTGTGGTCATTATATGGCATAGTAGATGTAGAAAAAATCAGAAGAAATTTTATATTGCATATAGTTTATGAGTATTTATTATTATAGCTACATCAATCTGTACAACTTATAAAAATCATGATACTGACTCATTACATATTTAATAAGCTCCTCTGATATACCAATGACTGTAATAGGTGTTTTTAATGGAGAGTGCAAAAAATAGTAAGACATAATTCTGAACTTTAAGTGACAGGTAGTTTAGTTAGAATTGTCAGAAATAAATACAATCACTTATTTCATATTGATGCCATATTGTTTAAATCTAAAGTGCTGGAAGCCTTGTAAAATACGCATATTCCTTTTGCTCTTCCCTTTAAAAGAATTTCATTTTATTAGAATTTGAAGCCTGGTGAGGATCAGCTGAAAAGGCAAAAACAAACCTGGTCTCTATATGATACAAAGGAACACATGCGTTCTTGTTCCTTCAGCTTTGCGCTTCTCCATGAAGTTGATGGTGGCCTTTGGCTGTAAGAGTAAAATAATCCAGTTTCAGCCTACAGGTATGTGTTCTGAGTTCCAACAGTGATCCAATATGGACTGTCTTAGTATCTGATTATTCTTAGTTCAATGTCTGGGCAAACACATGAGACTTGACACTTCACTCCTCCTTAAACTCTCTAATTTCTGTTCTATATGAGAGGTGTACTTCTTCAATATTCTTGAATTTCTACTTTAAGCATCTCTCTGTTCACTCAACTTTTTTTTTAACTTTCCTATTCTATTGACTATAAAAGTTTTGCTTTTCTTTCAGTTACACTTTCTTAAGGTCAGAGTGAAACTAAGAGACTAAGAATTAAACAGTAAAATCAGGGTGGTCGCTATTATCTGACTCTCCTCCCACCATGCCTCTTGTCCTACTGAAAGCTACAGGTTTCTCTGAAGAGATTCCAGCATTTGTTTGAAACCCTAGCTCTGGACCAACAGCTGGCATATGTCATAATTACTTTAGAGTTGAACTATTCTGAAAGCATTGAAACATAATGAGATTTGCCTGAAAAATTATTATTAGCACATCTTAAAGACCTAGATCAAGTTTTGCCTGTTCTTATGCAAAAGTGTTAAATATGTTAATGGTGTGGCTTGCGACAAGAATACTCTTCCTGCAAGTGTGAATGGCACAGAAATCAATTTGTGGAAGTAAGAACATCTGAACTGTAAATACCAGTATATGTGGTGCTGTTGTCAGCAAGTGGAGTTGTTTAAGGAGCAGTAACAACCTCTCTCTGATGGTTGGACTGACAATAAAGGGGCATGTCTCAGGGGACTAAATGAGCTTCAAAGGATAATCATACCTGAAACTATGCATCTTAACCCCTTTATTTCAACACCCCATTTTACTGAGGTTTCCAGCAGTTAAGGCTTTCCTTCATAGGAGCAGATGGCCTCCTGGGAAGTAGCTTTGCCTATCTGAAGGCAGCGGACTATAATTACTAAAAAGTTAGTGATCTGGAGTGAGATGATCTTATCTTGAATTAAACTTCACTTGTCACTTACTAGTTGCTTGACCTTCAGCATTATTTAAACCAAGATGTCCTCATCTGTATAATGAGGGTAACAATCAGCTTTGCTTTAGAAGGTTTTATGACAATTAGATACATTTAAATTTCTTAGCAAAGTGCCTGGCTCTTAACAAACACTCAATATTGTTGCTAATGTTATTATCATTAATTGTTATTATTCATCCTAAATTTCTTATAGAGTATTAAGCCATCTATCCATGAAACATCTCCCCTAGTGACTCATTTCAGTAACCCCTCTGACATATTGATGTATCTTCCTTCTTCAAGACTTTGCTTCTGTGTGTTGATCTAAGTCTTGTGCCACTCCACTCATACATACTTTAATCCTGCTACCATGATTGTGTAACATGAAATTTGTGGCAACTGATTGACTCACCCTCTTTTTCTATTTCTGATATTTGGTTATGTCTAACTCAGAGTTGTATCTTTTCTAGCATCACCTTCTTAAAAAGAATCAATGTGTGTATGTGCTTTACCCTGCCAACAGGAATGATTGCATTCTATGTCACCCTCATACTTTATTAATTTGAAACCAACTAAGGAAATGAAATTAGACTTTTAGAAGTATAATTGGAAAAGGAAATCTTCCACAAAGACAGTACTTTGAAACATAATTAACTTTTCAGTTTAAGGACATAATTTGCTATTTAGACTTACAGAAGGAAAAGAAAAACATTTTAATGATTCCTACTTTTTAAAAAAAGAAAAGGGGATTTGCTAAAGTCAATGTATAGGTCCATAAAGGTGAATCATTATCCCTAAAGTTGGATCATGGAAGTAACAGTTTGTTAATCTGTTTTTAATATGGATTCCTCCCTAAGAAATATATAGTCTAGCAAGAGAAATCATGTGTATGTAAACATAACATAAGGCAGAAAATTGGTTATAGAAGATGTTTAAGATAAAGTGTTAAGGCAGCTCTGAGGATAAAAAACAAATTTCCCAATATAAAATCAGAATAGGCTTAGAAATTGAGCTGGGTCTTGAAGAATTAGGTTATGTGATTATGTCTTGCATATTTGTTGAATACATTACACAAGTGTAGTGTATACAGTCAGTGAGTCTGTCTGTGGTTAACTGTCAAGCTCCCTCTCATCCTATCATGCAATTTCTATTTTATCTTTCTACACTAAATATTCCTAAATCAACTAATGGTATCCTGAATATTTGGTTGTCTTATTTTTCTATATAATAAAAGCCAGCAATTGTTTTCTCTAAAGAGCCAGATAATAAATATTTTAGCCTTGGCAGCTACTCAGTTCTGATGTAGTGTAAAAGAAGCCATAAACAACATGTAAGTGATGTGCATGGTTGTTTTCAAACAAAACTATGTTTACAAAAACAGGTGCAAAGCCAGATTTGGCCTATGGAGGTGGGTGGAAGGTGGTAGTTTACTAATCTCTGGTCTGAAACATAGGCTTACTGATCAGTCCAAATAAAATATTTCTGTTATCTGATATTCATGAAAATGATACTATAACAAATAGGGAATCAGCATTCCTACTAGCCCAAATACCTAGCTGTCAATAACAGTAAAGGTCCTGGCATTTTACTCTAATTGCAAGTGCATACTTTAGCCCAGTGGTCGGCAAACCGCGGCTCGTGAGCCACATGTGGCTCTTTGGCCCCTTGAGTGTGGCTCTTGCACAAAATACCACGTGCGGGTGCGCACGTACAGTGCAATTGAAACTTCATGGCCCATGTGCAGAAGTCGGTTTTCAGCCTGGGCGAGTCTATTTTGAAGAAGTGGCATTAGAAGAAGTGGGGGGTGTCGGTCAGTCGGGCGACAGGAGATGCGGCGCAGGTGGACCTCGGGATACGCAGCGCGGGGGACGTACATTGTTTTGAGGTACATTCCCTGAGGTTGACCACTTCCAACTCTCCCATCCACACTCGTCTATCTGAAACAAGTATACAAGACGAGTGTGGATGGGAGAGTTGGAAGGGGTAATAAAATTGCCCACATTCTTTACCTCCTTTGTTTCTCTTTTCTGCCCTTTTTAGCAATTCACACCATTGCACATCTGTTTAATGTGGAGTGGTGTGTGAATGCCCGAGTCAACAATTCTGATCCTTACTCAATAGCACTGTCTGACATTGGAGATAAGCCTGGTGAAACTTACCTCAATTTTGCTCGAGAGAGAATCAAGGTAAGCCTCTTTATTTCCTGATTCTGATGTTCCCTAGACCCGTGGTCGGCAAACTGCGGCTCGTGAGCCACATGCGGCTCTTTGGCCCCTTTAGTGTGGCTCTTCCTAAGCCTTAGGAGTACCCTAATTAAGTTAATAACAATGTACCTACCTATATAGTTTAAGTTTAAAAAATTTGGCTCTCAAAAGAAATTTCAATCGTTGTACTGTTGATATTTGGCTCTGTTGACTAATGAGTTTGCCGACCACTGCTTTAGCCTGACACATTTTTAAGGATATTGGTGTAAGACACAAGATTTCTGGGTCAGAAACAAAGGAAAATTTATTACTAACAGTCATTGCAGAGTTAGAGCATCAGTATTTCTTGTTCCACTTCCCCTCATCTTAATTCTCACATGGCATCACAAAAAGAGCTAGGTAATAACTGTACACAAGGAAAAGAAAACCAGAGTTTAGAGAACACGAATCTTTTATAATGAGCAGTAAGCCTGCCTGACATTTTCCCCAGTGAGATACATTAACTTTATTACACTAAACAGTAACTATGTCTGCCCTTTGCTCTGGAGAGAGACACCATCCCTATTTTTCAAATATGTTTATCATACATGCATTCTTGAATAGATAATGCAGAACAAAAGCTGATAGCACCTCTATCTGTGAGACATGCAACTGCCAAAGAGTCATGGAGAATTGTCTGCTATCCCAGCATCCCAAATTATCCCCATGCTTTTGCAGGTCTTGAATCCTTTGATAGAAATGCAGGGTTAAATGAAACACACTTCAATTTAAATGTCCCAGAACTTACCAAAACAAGTATGGAAAAATGTAGAAAATGGGCAGAAGCACGCTGGACCTTTTTAATTTAAGACCCAAGCTAATCAAGAACAATGATGGTCATCAGCTCTTTTTCTATCCCATCCCTGGAACTATATTTCTTCAAATGGTATTACATTAAGGAGATCCAAGATGATGGCAGAGTAAATGGAATCTACACAACCCCCCCCTCAAGACCAAACTGGAATTATAACTAAATTATGGAAAAATAATTCTAAATAACCAATTGAAGATTAGTTGAAGAGAAGAATTATAACAAAGGACTTACAGAAGAAAGATGATGGCAGAGTAAATGGAATCTACACAACCCCCCCTCAAGACCAAACGAATTATAACTAAATTATAGAAAAATAATTCTAAATAACCAATTGAAGATTAGTTGGAGAGAAGAATTATAACAAAGGACTTACAGAAGAAGCCATATGGAGACTGGTAGGAAATGCAGAAGTTCAAGAGAGCTGTCCAAGCTCTCATAGATGGAACTGGAGGTTTGGAAGGATATCTCAGCTGTTGGGTGTTCCCCGTGAGCAGTGTTCCCCTGAAGCAGTGTTTGCTTCAAGGAGAAGGAGAAGGAGAAAAAGAACAGAGGAACATAGTTAAAAAAAATAAAATGGCAATAAATACAAACCTATCAATAATCACTTTACATGTAAGTGGCTTAAATGCTCCAATCAAAAGACAGAGGGTTGCTGAATGGATATAAAACAAGATCCACAGATATACTGTCTTCAAGAGACCCAAGTCAGAATGAAAGACACACATAAACTAAAAGTAAAGGGATGGAAAAATAAACTTCATGCAAATGGGAAAAAAAGCTGTGTTAGCAATACTTATATGTGACAAAATAGACTTTATAACCTAGGCTATAGTAAGAGACAAAAAAGAGGAAACTACAACGGCAAAGAAAGCAATCCAACAACAGTATATAATCCTTATAAACATGTATGCACCCAACATAGGAGCACCTAAATAGGTCATGCAAATCTTGATGGACATAAAGTGAGAGACTGACTGTATTGCAGTCATTGTGGAGATTTTAATATCCCATTTATGTCAATGGGTAGGTCTTCCAGGAAGAAAATCATAAAGGAGACAGTGGCCTTAAATGACACAAGAGATCAAATGGATTTATTTGATATCTTCAGATCATTGCGCTCCAAAGAAGCAGAATATGTATTCTTTTCAAGTACACATGGAATGTTTTCTAAGTTGGACCACATAGTCAAACATAAATACGTCTCAGTAAATTTCAGAAGATTGAAATCATACCAAGCATCTTCTCTTAACATAATTCTATGAAAGTAGAAATAAATCACAAGAAGAAAGCTGAAAACACAGCAAAATATTGAGGCTATATAATAAGTTACTAAACAATGAATGGGTTAGCAATGAGATCAAACAAGAAATCACAACTACCAGAAAACAAAGGAAAGTGAACATACAACAACCCCAAATCTGTGGGACACAGAAAAAGCACTCGTAAGACAGAAATTTATAGCATTAGAGGCCTATATCAAGAAATAAGGTAAAGCTCAAGTATCCAATCTAATTTTGCACTTAAAGGAACTTAAAACAGAACAACAAACAAAGCTCAAAGTGAGTAGAAGGAAAGAAATAATAAACATCAGAACAGAAATAAACAAAATAGAGTATTAAAAAAAATGCTAAAGTTAAATGAAACCAAGAGCTGGTTCTTTGAAAAGATAAACAAGATCGACAAAACTTTAACCTCATCAAAGGTGTGTGTGTGTGTGTGTGTGTGTGTGTGTGTGTGTGTGTGTGAGAGAGAGAGAGAGAGAGAGAGAAAGAGAGAGAGAGAGAGAGAGAAGAGAGGATCTTCCCTATTCAGAAACCTTAGCTGATTGTAGCACCGTCCCATGCACCAAAAAGGTATGGGTTCACATCCCTGTCAGAGCACATACCTACCTTGCAGGTTAGATCCCCATTCAGGGCATGAATGGGAGGCAACCAATCAATGTTTCTCACTCACATCAATATTTCTTTCTCTCTCTCACTCATCCCCTTTCTCTCTCTCTAAAATTACTAAACATATCCTTGGGTGAGGATTTTTAAAAAAAGAGGATTCAAATAAATAAAATCAGAAATGAAAGAGAAGTAACAAATGATACTAAAAAAAATACAAAGGATTGTAACAAAATATTATGAACAACTATATGCCAACAAATTGAATAACCTGGATTCAATTGGATAAATTCCTAGAAACATACAATCTCCCAAAACTGAATCAGGAAGAATAAGAAAATCTGAATAGACAGATTACAACTTGTGAAATTGAAACAGTAATAAAATAAAACTCCCATCAAACAAAAGCCCTGGCCCACATGGCTTCACAGATGAATTTTACCAAATTTTCAAAGAACTAATACCTATATTCTTAAACTATTCCAACAAATTCAAGAGGAATGAAGACTCCCATGCTCACTTGATGACACTAACATCATCCTATTTCCAAAACCAGATAAAGAGTCTACTATTTGCATGCCACTTATTTAACAAAGAAAGAAAATTATAGGTCAATATCCCTGATGAATATAGATGCTAAAATCCTCAATAAAATATTAGCAAACCAAATCCAGTAATAACTTAAAAAGATCATACACAATGATCAAGTGGGAATTCTTTCAGGGAGGTAAGGTTTGTGCAATATCCACACATCAATAAATGTGATGCACCATGTAAACAAAATGAAGGATAAAAACTACATGATCATATCAATAGATGCAGAAAAAGCATTTGATAAAATCCAGCACCCATTTATGATAAAAACTCTCAGAAAAGTGGGAATAGAGGAAATATACCCCAATGTAATGAAGGCCATATATGACAAAAACCACAGCCATCACCATACTTGATGGGCAAAAACTATAAGCATTCCCCTTAAGACTGGTACCAAGACAGGGATATCTGCTTTCACCACTATTATTGAACACTAGAGGCCCGGCACATGAAATTGTGCACAGGTACGGTCCCTAGGCCTAGCCTGTGATCAGGGCCATCTTGCCACCACCCTGGTTCCCTATTTGCCATCTGGTGATAGGAGCCTGCAGGCAGGGGAGGGGGAGGGACCAAGAGGTTGGCCATTCTGCCCACTTGGCACTCCCGCCCCCCACCCCAACCCTGGTTCTCCGTTCCCATCTGACAATGGGAGCCCGATGGCTGGGGGAGGGACCAAGAGGTCGGCCATTGCTGCCCGCTTGCCAGCCCCCTCCTGGCCACGGGTTGCCCTCTGTGTGTGGGCGAATGGTAGGGTGGGGGCCTTGGCCTGGCGCCACCCATATCCCCCGCCACCCACCCCGGTTTCCATTTGCCATTGGCAATAGGAGCCTGCGGTCCAGGGAAAGGGACCAAAAGGTGGTCAGTGCACCTCATAGTGACTGGTCAAGTGGTCATTCTGGTTGTTCTGCTACTATGGTCACTGGGCTTTTATTATATAGGATAGGATAGCACTGGAAATACTAGCCACAGCAATCAGACAAGAAGAAGTTTGCAGGTAACATGATACTGTACAGATAGAACCCTAAAGATTCTATCAAAAACTACTCTGATTGGTAAATGAATTAAGCTAAGCTACAGGATACAAAATAAATATCCAGAAATCAGTTGCATTGTTTAAAAAATAATAATGAACTATCAGAAAGTAAAACAAAAAAAGTAATCCCATTTACAATTGCTTCAAAAAGGATAAAATACATAAGAATAAACTTACCAAGGATGTAAAAGGCCTGTACTGAGAAAATTATAATACACTGAAGAAAGAAATTGAAGAAGATACAAATAAGTGGGAACATATCTGTGTTCATGGATAGGAAGAATTAACATCATTAAAATGTCCATACTACCCAAAGCAATCTATAGATTCAATGCAATTCCTATCAAGATTCCAATGGCATATTTCACAGAACTAGATCAAATACCCCAAAAATGTATATGGAAATACAAAAGACCCCAAATAGCAATAGCAGTTTTGAGAAAAAAGAGCAAGTTTGGAGGAATCATGCAACCTAATAAACTGTACTACACGGCCACAGTAATTTAAACAGCATGGTACTGGCATAAAAACAGACAGATCAATGGAACAGAATAGACACCAGAAACAAGCCCATGCCTTTATAGTCAATTAATATTTGGTAAAAGAGGCAAAAAAATTCAATGGGGTAAATACAGTCTATTTAATAAATAGTGTTGGGAAAATTGGACAGATATATGCAAAAATATGAAACTAGACTACTTTCTTACACCACACATAAGAATAAACTCAAATGGATTATAAACTTAAATGTTAGACTCAAAACCATAAAAATTCTAGAAGAAAGTATAGGCAGTAAAATCTCAAACATTTCTCATAGCAATATTTTTTTCTGATATATCTACTTGGGCAAGGGGAAAAAAAAAGAAAAACCTCAAATGGGACTACATCAAACTAAAAAGTTTTTGCATAGCAAAGGAAACCATCAACAGAATGAAAAGACAACCCATTGAATGGGAGTACATATTTGCCAATACATCTGATAAGGGCTTAATATAAAAAATGTATAAAGAACTAATAAAACTCAACACCAAAAAACAAACAATCCAATTAAAAAAATGGGCAAAGGACCTGAGTAGTAACTTATCCAAGAGGACATATGGATGGCCAATAGACATATGAAAAGATGCTCAACATCACTAATCATCAGAGAAATACAAATTAAAACCACTATGAGATATCACCTCACACCTGTCAAAATGGTTATCATCAATAAATCATCAAACAACAAGTGTTGGTGAGGATGTGGAGAAAAGGGAACCCTAGTGCACTGTGGTGGGAATGCTGATTGGTGCAGCTACTGTGGGAAGTAGTACAGAGTTTCCTCAAAAAATTAAAAGTGGATCTGCCTTATGACCCAGCAATTCCATTTCTGGGAATATATCCAAAGAATTCCAAAACACTAGTTCAAAAGAATATATGCACTGCTATGTTCATTGCAGCATCATTTACAATAGCCAACATTGGGAAGCAGCCCAAGTGCCTTTCGGTCGGTGAGTGGATAAAAAAGCTGTGGTATATTTACACAATGGAATACTACTCATCAGTAAAAAGGAGAAAATTTTACCCTTTGTGACAGTATAGATCAAGGGTCCTCAAACTTTTTAAACAGGGGGCCAGTTCACTGTCCCTCAGACCATTGGAGGGCCGGACTATAGTTTAAAAAAAAAAACTATGAACAAATTCCTATGCACACTGCACATATCTTATTTTGAAGTAAAAAAACAAAACAGGAACAAATACAATATTTGTATTTGCATGTGGCCCGCGGGCCGTAGTTTGAGGACCCCTGGTATAGATGGACCTGAAGAGTATTATGCTAAGTGAATAAGCTAATCAGAGAAAGACAAGTACTGCATGACTTCACTCATATGTGGAATCTAATGAACAAACTTAACTAAGAAGCAAAATTGAGACAGACTCAAAAATAGAGAGCACGCTGACAATTGGGGGCAGGGGTGGGGTGGAGGGATTGAGCAAAAAAGAAAAAAAGAGAGAAATAACTC